CTGCAACAGTCTCCAAACTGGCCTCTGCCCCCTCCACATGTTTTCCTCTATCTGGGGCCAGGGAGATCGACCCCCCATGCACAGGGAACCAGGTCACTCTTCCTCTTACCACTTTCCACAGATGACCTGTCACCACAAGATAAAGACCCTGAAGAGCTACTGCAGCGTGCCCCAGCTCATCCCTCACGCCCTGCTACTGCATTCCCAGTCACGTGTGCTGCCCCTCTAGCCAGGTCCGTCTGCTTGCTATTCCCACCCACTGGCCAGGCTGCTGCTCAGCACCATTCGTGGATACCCTTGCGTGAGTGCGGCACCACCTGCCCTTGCCTGGTGGCGTATTCTTTAAGGCTTCCTTCTCTGGAAAGCTCTCGCTGAAACCCTGGGTGCTCAAGGGCATGGGCTCATCTTTTCACTGTTTTCTAGTTACACATGCTGTCTGTCTCCTCCTGTGACTGTGAACTCCCTAAAGGACAAGTGGCACATCTTACTCATAGTTTTGAACCCAGCTTCCAGCGCAGATGTGGCGGGAGGCAGATGCGTAATCAATGCATGTTGTCTGACTAGGATGGGTTATAAACAGGAGCCGTCTGGAATACCCAGATCTCAGACTCCCAACAGCTTCCCTTTGCTCTGGACTCTGCCCTGGCCCCTCCTTACCTCGCCCACATCCTGCTGTGTGGATACTCACCCCTTCCAACTCTGAAGGTTGCAGGGAGGGGGACCGTGGCTCTCTGTGGGAGAGGTGTCCCAGCTTTTCCTCTCAGCCTCCCCTGGCTGAACCTCAGCGGGAGCTGAGCAGATTTTCTGTGGCCTTGGATGCCTTCCTTCTGCCCCAGATCTTGCCTCGGCGCTCTACTGCAGCTCCCTGTCCTCTGCTGCTGGACTGGGAGGCCTCCAGCACCCTGCCTGACATGTTCCTCCAGGAGAGGACACAGTTGTCTCCTGAGCCTCCGGCGCCCTCCACCTCCCTCCATCCTTAGATGCTTCCCTGGGGAGACACGACCTGTCAGCGCTAGACAGCTGCTGGGATGAGGCTCCCTTGGTATTCCAATTTAGGAGTAAATAAGGCTTCATCCCCTGAGGGGTCAGTTTCATGTAAAAGAGAAGTCTCAAGAGCCTTGGATTGATGGCACTTGGGGGATCCCTTGGCTGCTGGCCTCCCCTGCCTTCCCTGGGCTGTGTAGTGACATTCCTGTTCCCACCTCTCTTCCACCCCTCCCTAAAATTGCAGGCTCCAAGGGCTCCATCCTGAGCTCCGGGGCAGTGTCTGCATGCCCTCTGCCCAGCCCTGGTCCCAGTATGCCCACCCAGGCCACACAGGTGCACCCTGTTACCCACCCACCCACCTACGCTCACACATGCATGCCAGCAATCATATGTTGTCCAGGTTGGTCTTGAACTTCTGGCCTCTAGTGATTCTCCCACCTTTGCCTCCTGACTCACTAGGATTACAGGCATGAGTCACTGTGCCCAGCAACACTTTTTAAATAGATGCGGTTTAAGAGGAATGCTGGCTAGATTAGTCTTATTTCCACTTCCCTGTAATAAAGGAGAGCTGCCAAGCTGGGGGCTCAGAAGAAGGAGGGAAAAAGTGGAGAAAAACTTCAGGACAGCTGGAAAAGGGGTCTTGCAACATAGATCCTCTTTTTAAGAAGTGTGGAAATAATATCAAGTTTATGAAAAGTTATAAAAGTAAAAAATAGTACAGACACCATCCTTACAGCCTTTACCAAGATGTACCTGTTGCTAATACTCTATCTTTGTTTTTGTCCCCTGCTCTATATGAACACACATGGGTATGTATGTATGTGTGTGTGTGTGTATGTCTTATGTGTGTGTGTATGTATGTATGTGTATAGACACAATTGTTTTTCCTGAACCACTTGAAGGTAAATTACAGTTACACTCATCATGACGTTTTTTCTAAATTCTTTAGTATTTCCCAGGACTAGGAATATTTTCTTACGTTATCACAGTGTAGTCATCAACTTCATAGGTTTACATATACAGCTTCATAGGGTAGAACTGTCATCTAACCCACCACCCAGATTGCAGTGTTAGTTGTTGACCGCATCATGTCCTTGGCACTAAACGTGCCTGCAGTACAGGATTCTGCGTAGGCTTGACTATTCCATTCAATCACCGTGACTCTTTAGCTTCCTGTAATCTGGAACATTTCCTACGCCTTTCTTTGTCTTTAATGACATTGAGAAGTCAAGGGACTTTTGTGAGGGGCTGGGGCAGAGGCGGTTTTGCCTATTGATTAAGAATACAGATGCTGGCGTCCAGTGGCTGGGCCCAGTCCCACTCTGCCATTTATCAGGCTGGTAAGTGTGGGAGAGTTGCTTAACCCTTTTGTGCCTCAATTTGATCATTCATCAATCCAGTGAACAGTTAGCCTGTCTCATGGGGCTACTAGGAGGCTTGGCACACAGTAAAAACAGGGCAAGCATTCACTTACTGTCGTGGTAGCAAATCACCTTTTCTTGAAGGGGCTCTCAGTGCATCAAGCTCTCAGTGCACAGGGGTGCCTCAGCATTGGCTCAGGGGTCAGGACCAAGCAGCCTGCAGCCCTCCCTGGCTGTACATGCAGTTATCCTAAGGACTCTGTGGTCTGGACAAGCAGCCATATTCTAAGATGGTAGCAGAGATGATGCCAGCCAAAGACTCAAAAGGGATGTGGCTATCTCAACAGACAGCTATGTGGGGATCCAGGGCCCTCCAGGAAGTGAAGCCCTTCCCGTTGATCAGCGTGGCTGGGCATAAGTCCCACATTGTTGAGTTAACTCCAGGAGAGGTACCTGGAGAAGGGACACGAGAAACCACTGAAGTGACGAAGCATACCTGAACGTTGCTGGATGGCTTCACCACCCTCAAGTGCAGAGACTTCAAGATGGAGCCTAAGCTGAGCTATAGGAGAGGCAGGTTTTGTACAGCTGTCATGATGCCTCCCAGTGGAAGGGCTGAGCAACTCCTAGAGAATTCTCCTACCAGGTATTTACTCCTTCTCTTTTCTGACCTAGAGAGGAACCAGGCAATGTGGAAAAGGGGCTTAAAGGCTTTTTCCCCATGAGAAAAGCAGAGAGCATGGAATAATGGGTGGAAGGGACTGCAGACAGCCTTCTGATTTCTGAAGCTCAGTTCTGCCCTGACACTCTCCATGAAGGCTGCTGTATATAGGCTGCTAACCATCAATCCGACTATCCATGAATCTAGTCATCCAACTGTCTGCCTGTCCATTCATTCATTCATGCATCCACCCACCTCTCCATCCATCCTCCATTCCTCCATCTGATGGGGAAACACATCTACAGCATCTATAGCCTTGCCTCACCATCCTAGTTCAGTCATGCGGGGCTTGACCACAGGGATATATTCTGAAAAATGTGTCGTTAGGCGATTTCAGCACTGTGTGATGTCAGAAAGTGCACTTACACAAACCTAGATGGTACGGCCTGCTACCACCTCGGCAGCAGGGTGCAGCCTGTTTCTCCCACCAGCATCTTCACAAGCATGGGAGTGACGCTTTGCGTTATGACGGTGATGACGTCACTAGGCCATAGGAGTTGCTCAGCTCCTTATTATCTTATGGGACTAAGTGGCATATGCGGTCTGTCGTTGGGAAAAATATTCCACAGCGCAAAACTGTGGTTGCTCGTCTGGCTTTGTCAAGGAAGGAGCTATTCCATAGATATGTTTTCTTGTTGTTGTTCCAGATAACTTTTGTCCTTTTAAGAGTGCCACCTTCATTTAGTTTAGCCATTTTGGAGAGAAAGTGCTGAAACCGACTGTAAACTTGTCTTTCTTTCTTTCTTTCTTTTTTGAGACAGAATCTCGCTCTGTCACCCAGGCTGGAGTGCAGTGGCATGATCTTGGCTCGCTGCAACCTCTGCTTTCTGGGTTTGAGCGATTCTCCTGCCTCAGCCTCTAGAGTAGTTGGGATTATAGGCACATACCACCATGCCTGGGTAATTTTTTTATTTTAGTAGACATGGGGTTTCACCATGCTGGGCAGGCTGGTCTTGAACTCCAGACCTAGTGACCCACCTGCCTCCACCTCCCAAAGTGCTGGGATTACAGGTGGGAGCCACTGCACCAAGGCCTTGTCCTTCTTTTTAAAACAGGGCCTTAACTGAGTTAAGTTAAGTCTTAGTTAAGTTAAGTCTTCCTGGATGATCCAGGTCACCCCTCCAAATGGAAGTCACATGATTCATTGTGAAGCCAGTGGTATGGGCCCTCAGGGAGTATTTGGAACTCTACACTAAATGGCCCCAGTGGCTCTGCTTTTTTACACTTTCTTTTGTACTCCCCGCCCCCCATTCTGAGATCCCAGTTATCTTCCCAATGCTTATAGCCCTTGGCATGCTTCTAGCAATGTCTTCTCTAAATGGCCTTGAGTTGGAAAATTTGATAACCGAAAGTGTTAGAATTGTGCATAAAGCAAGAGTACTGAGTTCTTTCTTTATGAAAGACTCTCATTAGTATAAAACAGAGCCTCCTGCCTTTGTATCCCGTTGTTGCCTCATTCTGGGTTCTCTGCTACCCTCCACGCCCCTGCAGTCTGTGAATGCAGAAGCCCTAGGAATGGGGAGGGCTACATAGTGGGCTGGAATTGCTCTTCCTAGATCCTTGCTGCTTTCGCTTTAGAGAAAACGATGAGATACCAGAGCCTGTTCTGACTGAATCCACCCTCAAAGGGGCTGGGGGAGATGGGAACAGGGTGGGGCCAGTGGGTCAGTGGTGCCTGAAGCTTTGAGAGAGAGGAGAGTGGTTGGGCCCCACTGGTAGTGTGCAGGAAGCTGAGGAAGGGACCCCTGCCTCCTCCTCACTCTGGATGACAATGGCCAATGTGGACCGGGGAGAGCCCAAGGGTCTGGTCTCCCTTCAAGGCCCAAAGCAGGACTGGTACCAGTGGTGAGATGGGCACCTGGGGTGCAGGCCAGGAGTCTCAGCCTATAAACACCCCACACGCACACAGGGACTCCTTTAAATACACAGCTATGGAGACACCCAAAATGCAGATGAGCACTTGCACTCACAAGGGACGCGCTTCCATAGGTGCAGCGACCATCAGGAAACTGACCACACACACTCCGGCGGGAGGTCTTCCTCACTTCCCTCCCTCCACCAAGATCTCTCCCCATCACCACGGACACAGTGACAAACACATCATCTCTGAATTTGGACACTGGGGCCCCATTTCAGAAGGTCACAACCTTCACACCAGCTGCACGTACTTGTTTACAGGGACGGATGCCCATAACATGTCTGCATGGTGGGACAGCAAGCTGCCGATTGCCCCCACACACTCAGACACACACTTGCACATGTGCTCCCACACGCTTACACACACACTGACACTTGCCCACACACTTGCGTTCAGACACACATGGGTCCAGGCAGGGCCCTGGCTTGGCCCTACCTACTTCCCCCATCCTTTCTGCAGCTGCAGGTGGTGCTCTGCTCTCCTCTGCTGGGTCCGTCCTCAGGTCTTGGATTCTGGGTGGCTGGCGGGCTGATGCCAACATCCTCCTCCTTCTCCCCCGGATTTTTGTCAACTGCAGCCTGACGCTGGGGAAGATTCGTTGCTTTGGCTTCGACATGGACTATACTCTGGCCATACGAGGGCTGTAACACAGTGTATTGGGAGCTGGAGGGAGCAGGGGCCGGGCAGCCAGGCAACAACCGCCTGGCCTGACTCCGCTAAGGCGCCTGAATCCTACAAGCCCCCAGCCTATGAGGCCCTAGACTTTGAGCTGCTGCTGGAGTGCCTGGTGTGCACTGGGTACCCACTCGAGATCCTGTGCTATACCTACAACCCCACCTTCCCCACCAGGTGCATGACTCAGGACAGGTGGGAGGTCACTTGGCCTTGGTACCCCCACCCACAGCCCCCCCACCCCTGCCTCTGCAGGGAGCTGGTGTTTGATGCACTCTGTGGGAACCTGCTGAAGGTGGACACCCACGGGAATGTGCTGTTGGGTGCCATGGCTTCACCTTCCTCTCAGAGTAAGGGACAAAGGGTGCCGGGAGGGTGGCAGGTCAGCAGGGGAGGACAGAAGGGGGGATGGAGGAAGGATGCAGGCCCACGGTGGAGGCTCAGCACAGAAGGGATGGGTGGGGGTTGGAAGGGATGGCTAGAACCCGGACAGGTCTCTAGGAGGCACTGGGGCAGGGGCACTGGCTGCACCCAGCCTACCCCCTCCTCAGGGCAGAGAGCTGGAGCTTCTACCCCAGCAAGTTCATTCAGACGGACGACATGCAGCGCTTCCACATCCTCAACACACTCTTCAACCTGCCTGGTGGGTGGAGGGTTGGCGGCACCGGGAGGTGGTCCTGAGGGGCCCAGCTCTGGCCTGGTGGGGAGCTGCCTGGGTCCCTGGACTGACAACTGACCGGCATGTCTGCCCCAGAAACCTACCTCTGTGCCTGCCTGGTGGACTTCTTCTCCGGCTGCTCCTGTTACACCAAGTGTGTCTTGTGTCCTGCCCAGCCCTGGGGTGACCAGCAGCACACTGCCGCTACTCAGGGACCAAACCCCAAAGTGGGGAACCCCTGAAGGGTTCCCCAAAGGGCTTGAGGGGTTCCAGAAGACCTCTATTGCAGGGTGGCGCCCAACCCTGTCACTGGCTCTGCCCGCAAGGGGTGACCCTTAGCCCCAGGTGATGCCCCTCCCAGGATGGTTGGGACATAAGCCCACTGAATGCTCCAGTGTGGCTGGTGGGGTCGCTCTGGTATAGCACTCAGGGTAGGAGGTCACTTCAGGCTCCCTTATTGGCATCCCCTGTCCCCTCTTGGCCTGCCCCAGCTGTGACGCTGGATATCAGCATGGGAACCTCTTCATGTCCTTCTGAAGCCTGTTCCAGGATGTGGCTGATGCCATGAATAGTGTCCACCAGCGGGTGAGTGAGTGTTCCAGGACCCCCGGACCCCTGACCTGTCTGCTCTGGGTTCTCCTGGGCAGCCTCCGGCCTCCAGTCTGCATAGACTTTCCATCCTCTTCCCACTGAGGACTGTGGTCTAGTCTGGGCTTCCCAGAGCCGCCCACTCTCCTCATCTTGACATAGACATGTAGGTGGGTACACACACACACACACACACACACACACACACACAGAGACAGACACACACTCGCACAGAGACACTTCCCTGGCTTTCTTGGAGGTTTAAGCTGAGCTCTGCTCCCAGGTGGCTCAGGGTCTTTCTGTGTGTCCTGGTGCCTCCCTGCCTGGGCTGGGGTGGCTCCCAGAAGGCTGAAACCTGAGGAGGGGATCCCAGGGCAGCGCCGGGAGTCCCACCCCTGCAAGTCCCTCTATCTCCGCCCCAAGCACACCTCCCGTGCTGCTGGGGAAGATGAAGGAGGTTGGGAAAGTGTTTTTGGCCACCAACGGCAGCTAACACTACGCCGACGTGAGTGTGTGTATCGAGGGGTGGGCCCTCGGCCTCCTCCCTGGCCTCTGGGGACATGGAGGCATTGCAAACAGCAGTGAGGGGCGGGAGGAGCCACGACCCTTCTACCCCCAACACTGGACTGGTCTCCTGGGCTCCATTTTTTGGCCTTTCAAGACCTCAGGGGAATGAGCAACTTTCTCACCACCTTGCTCCTGTGGTCACCAGGGTGCCAGGGGGATAGTAGTAAGGGCAGAGGTAGGCAGTGGCCCAAGCTTGGTTCCCTGGCCCTGCCCTGTCCTTGTGACCTACCTGTTCAGCACCAGTGAGGTGAGTGCTGGAGTGATGCACTCACAGCTGGGGTGGGCTGTGCAGCGGGCGGGGGCGCCAGGCCACACCGCGATGCTGAGGGCCTCTCCCATGTCCAGCCTCCCTTTGAGCAAGACCCAAGTGTGTGAGTGGTCATTTCTCATGAGTGGAAGCTCCCCAGTGGGTAGGAGGCTGGTGACCTCAGCCAGGCCCTGGGAGGAGCCTTTGGGGATGACAGGAGGCAGTCAGGTATGTGGGGAGGGGTGGTGGAAAGCAGGGAGGCGAGGGCATGGCAGGCCAAGGGGACGAGGGGTGCTGGGGCCTGACAGTGATCAAGTGTCATGGGGCAGGCAGCAGGCCCCTAACTTGGTAGCTGTGCTGGTGCCACCTGTCCCCAGGTCTCTGACTGTGCTGTGAGGGGCTCTGGAGGCTGTCCTGAGAGTGCACATGATGGCTCACACCCACCTCCATAAATTCCTTTCGAGCCCTTTCTAGTGCCCAGCTTGGCTGGGGATGCTGGGCAGCGAGACCTGGTTCCCAGGGGCTGGAGAGGTCCCATCCGGCTGAAAGGTTGGTGGGGAGAGGGCAGGCTGTGACAGGTAACCGGCTGTAGCAAGGTCAGATTTACCAGGCTGTGTGTGAGCGGCCCGTGTGCACCCCCAGCAGGCTGAGGCCTCGGCCAGCCCCTGGAGGTCCTACTTCGACCTGATCATGGTGGACACGCAGCAGCCCTGCTTCTTTTAGGAAGGGAGGGTCAACATGGTAACAGCCGGTGCAGAGGTCTATGGACCATAATTGGGGAGGGCAGCCTGCCCGCCCCTTGACTTGACCTGCCTTTGTGGCTGACCTATTTGTTCCTGGAGGCAGGGAGCCAGAGGCCTCCTTCAGGGCCCTCTGCTGCCTCCTCCCACACCTCCCTGGTTACCTCTGCCGCTACCAGCTTCCTCCGACGCTCCCTAGTTAGAGACCAAAGATGCGGTTCTCCTGGCTCCAGGGCACCCCTCTGCCCCTCCAGGACTTGGGGAAGCTAGGCGTGAGCACCTACACAGGGCCCCACCAGCACTATGCTGTCTACTCTGGAGGTATCAGCTCCCACCACGCCCCCACTCCTTCCCAGGCCCCCCACCTGCCCCAAGCCACTGCCCCAAGGCAGGAAGGGTGAAGGAGTCTGTCCTCGCTTGGTGGGGCAGGCTCGTCCGACATGGTGTATGAGCTCCTTGGGGTTTGGGGGAAGGACATCCTGTACATTGGGGACCACATTTTTGGGGACATTCTCAAGTCCAAGAAGTGGCAGAGCTGGGAGACTTGCCTAATGGTTCCTGAGCTGTCCTGGGAGCTGGACATCTGGGCCCTGGAGAAGGGTGAACTGCTGGGGTTGGGAAGAGTCAGAGGGCACTGGCTGCCCATGCAGAGGCCCCAGCACTGCCTTCTCCCTTTCCCCATGGGGGCCAGGAATCCTGGCCACTCTGTTGTTTCTGAGGGAGGAAACAGACACCCAGAGAGGGTAAGCAGCTTGTCTGAAGCCACCCAGCCAGTAGGGGCAAAGCTGAGAGTCAGATCTGCATCTCCTGACCCAAGAGTCCTGTGCTGTTTCTGCAGGCCGCACTTTCCTCCTGCACCTGACCCCACTCTCCCCACCCGCCCTGAGGACATTCAGTGGGTGGAAGGTACACAGGCTCCATCCAGGAATGACTTGAAGTCATCCTCCAGGGCAGGGAGTCGTGTGAGCCCCCACAATTCGGGGTTTGTCCTGAGAGCTGAGGCTTTAGGTTTGAGTCACCTGACTACCTCACCCATCCCTTGGGGCCTACAGGGCCTACGCTGTCCCTGCTTCAGTCTGGGCAGAGCCTCACCTGATATAAGGGCCAGGGGTGTTATGCACACAGCTGGGGGAGTGCAAGTCCGCAGCTGGGCCAGGGCAGACACAGGCCGGCAGGGCCAGTGGGTGACATAGGCCGTCACTCACCCCCACTGACCCTTAGTGGCTTTTTAGAGCAGTAGGAGGAGCTGAACAGGCTGGACATGCGCCTGGTGGACCTGTATCAGTGAGACCCTGGCCTTTCTGGGGGTAAGATGGGGGGCGGGGAGAGGGATGGAGGGACAGTGGCTCACATCCCTGCCTGGCAGCAAGGTCCCAGCCAAGGTTGTCAGGACATCAAGATCTGTTTCAGGCTGCGCTTCTCTAGCAAACTGGATGTGGGGACCCCTCTCACCACTTTGGGACTGCTCACACTCTGTGACCTCTAGGCCCTTCCTCTGAACCCGTCCAACACTCAGGGACCTTCCCTCACACGCGTGCACACACCAGCCCGGCACCCACATGGGATGCTCGCAGGGCGTCTTCCCCCTGACCCCTGTGGGAGTCTAAGGAGACTGTCCTGGCACTCAAGCTCTGTGCCTCGCCTTGGTTACCAGGCTATTTTTGTACCAGGCACATAGATGGGAGCAGTTGTGAGCTGCAAGCCATCAACTTCACTAAGAGAGATCCAGGTGACAGCTGGGTTTCGAGGGAGCAGGGGACCAGGCCCACTGGGGGCGGAGCCTACGTCCCCTGTGCCAAAGGCCGGGTTACCTGATTCTCCCCAACATCGCCCGGGCTCCACCTGCCTTGTCAGCCAGCGCCCTCTGCTGGCCAATGTTCCAAAGGGCAGCGGTGCCCTGTTGAAGGGCTGAGCTGAGCCTGATTTGCAGGCCTTGCCTCCAGTCCTGCAGTCCTTGTCAATCACCCTGCCTAAGAAGTGCCTGCATGCTGGCTGGGCCCTTACTGACCGACTAGCCAGTTCTGATAGGAAATGTGATTGAGGACCAGTGAGCCCAGCGTCCTGGGAAAAGAGAAGAAAGGACAACGTTCCCCTGTGGCATTACTGACCGGCCACCAAAAAGCTGGAGGTGCCCACGGCCGACCAGGTGGAGGGAGTCAGGCCACTTGGTCATCCCAGTCCAGCCAGGGCCCATCACAAAGGGTCTTTGCAGAGCCTTTTACAAAGCACAGCTGTCTGATCTTCCCACAGGCTTCTGAGGTGGATGGAGCACGGATTGTCACCTTTATATTACTAATGAGGAAACTGAGCCTCAGAGAGGGGTCACCTTGGGAGTAAATGTTGGGACTGTTCTCTAGGCTCTAAAAGCAGGGCCTGGTAGCGGGGTGGGACCTGATAGGAAGGTGGAAGCGGGGCTGGGGTGCGGCCTTTGCCAAGTCCTCTGTTGGACTCATAAGGTAAATGAGGCTGTGGTTTAGTCCTGGGTGGTCCACCTCCAGGGCCAGGCAGGTAACTGTGAGGGAAAGCTGGAGCGGGGCCCATGGCAAAGTAGGGAGCTGCCCCACCTCTAAAAGCCAAATGTGCAGTCTGTAGGTCTACAACATGCTGTTCCTTCCCTACAGAGGGGCACAGGCCTCAGTGTCCCCCAGGGAGGCCAGAGTTGCCCAGAAAGGGAGAAGGCGAGGGCAGGCCCATGTGGGCTGGGATTTCAATTCAGCGTGTTGCTCCTGTGGCCAGAAGGACACCCGGGAGAGGACCTGTGCTACAGCACCATGGGCAGCCTGTTCCACTGCGGTTTCCACCAGACACTCTTCTCCAGCCAGCTGATGTGCTACGCCAATCTCCACGCTGCCACCTGCTTCAACTTCCTGTACCACTGCTCAGCTCACTGTTTCAGGCTGCCCCGGAGTTGTTGGGTCCCTGCGGAATCTCCACAGCTGTCTCTGAACATCCATCCTAGAAGGACCCACTGGTTCCCAGCCTTGCTAGGAGGTCACAAGGTCACCAGACCCAATCTCCCACCTTCAGACTCAGTGGGGTCACAGCCTTGCAGATAACTGTCCAGGTCTTAACAAATGCATGGGAAGAGTTAGGTTTATATAGATAAGATGCCCCTGCGAGGATGTTCTTCCTCATGCCCAAACTTAACTCCTGCATTAGATTGAGACCACACTATCTCATCATTTCCTTGGTAGAAAGGATACCAGTTGCAAGGAGGAAGGCACAGTCCTCCTACCCTCAGTAAACATACAGTGGCTTCCGAGGAGGCGGCAGATGATACAGCAATCTGCTCTGGCTGGTTTTCCTCTGGGAGATCGGAGGATGCTTTTGGGTTAAGAGCAGGGAGGTAGAGGCGGCCATGATGGAACTGGGCAAGGGTTAGGAGTCATGGGACTGGCCAGCGCAGGGCTTCCCTGGAACCTGCATATGTCAGCCCTCCCCAGATGGCATCATCATTTCCATTTTGTAAGATGTAGAGCCTGCAGTTTAGGATCTGGACTTGAAGCTAGGTCTTTGAGGCTCCCTGCCGCCTGCTTTCCCTGCTGCCTTTGGCTGCCTTCCAGATGTTTGAGAGGGGAAAAGCCATTTATTGAACGTCTGCGGTGTTTCCTGCACTGGGCTGGGTGCTTTTCATTGATTATGCTTAATGCTCAATATAACTCAGCAAGGTAGGTTTTATCCTCCTTATTTACCATTGGCAAGAAAGCACAGAGAATCTAAGTGACTTGCTGTCATACAGCTAGCAGACCACAGAGCTGGGATTTGAGCATGTCAGGCTCTAAGGGGTCACACTCTGTCCCCTGCACTGTGCTGCCGCAAGTCTTGCTCTATTGCCCAGGCTGGAGTGCAGTGGCTTAATCTCGGCTCACTGCCACCTCCACCTCCTAGGTTCAAGCAACTCTTGTGCTTTAGCCTCCCAAGTAGCTGGGATTACAGCTGTGCTTGGGAGGCTGAGGCACAACCGTGCCCGGCTAACTTTTGTGCTTTTGTAGAGACAGGGTTTCATCATGTTGCCTGGGTTGGTCTTGAACTCATGGGCTCAAGCAATCTACCTGCCTTGGCCTCCCGAAGTACTGGGATTACACGTGTGAGCCATCGTGCTTGGCCTTGGCCTGGGATTTTTGAGGAAGTGAAGTCCAGCTGCCAGAACCTTCCTGCCCCTGCTGACCCCCTGAGGCACCTTCCTCTGATTGTTGGGCAGGAAGCTGGCAGCTGTGGGCAGGGGAGGCTGTGCATAGCTGAGGAATCCTGGAAGGCCAGACCCAGAACGGAGTACTCTGCCTCCATCTGCATTTATCCCTACAGATGCCACATGAGTCGGTTGTATAGCAAGAATGGGCCAATCTGGACCCTGCCTCCTGCCTCCTCTCTTGCAGCCAGAGGGTGAGTGACTGTGGCCGAGGGTCTCTGTGGCTTGGGCTCCCATGGGCTAGAGCAGTGGTTCCCAATGGGGTGGTATCAACCCCAGGAAGCATGAGGCAATTGGTGGGGGGGCTTTTTTTTTTTTTTTGTCTTCAAGCATAGTAATTCCTGATTATTCATGTAAAAATACATATTATTTTATTGTAAATTGCTTTTTTTATTTCTCCTTTGTTATAGTTAGGGTATTATCTAGTTATTTTAAATGGTAGAGATGATAATTGTATTGATGAATTTCAATTCAGGATGGAAGAGTGGAAGTTAAATATTTATTTTTAAAATGGGGCATGGGGGCCAGGTGTGGTGGCTCACACTTGTAATCCCAGCACTTTGGGAGGTTGAGGCGGGCAGATCATCTGAGGTCAGGAGGTTGAGACCAGCCTGGCCAACATGATGAAACTCCATCTCTACTAAAAATACAAAAGTTAGCTGGGCGTGGCAGTGGGTGTCTGTAATCCCAGCTACTCGGGAGGCTGAGGCAGGAGAATCACTTGAACCCAGGAGACGGAGGTTGCAGTGAGCCGAGATTGCACCACTGCACTCCAGCCTGGCAACAGGATGAGACTCTGTCTCAAACAAACAAACAAACAAACAAAAAAAGAAAGTGGCATTGGATCCAAAAGGGTGACAGGTTCTGCTTGGCAGTGGTTTGTTGATTCTTGGGCCCTGCACCTCTACAGACTGCTTTTGGCCAATCCATATAACTTACTCCCTCCAGGAGAGGTTGCAGGACATGCCCTCTTCCACACTGAGGCTTCCTCTCTAGACAGGCTTTGTTAACATCAATAACTAGTGGCTCTAGCCTCAGATCTTTTTGATACTTTGTGTGTCCTGACTCACCTCTGAGCTGAGACATGATTGGATGCCTAGGTTCCTCCTTGGGTTCCACACCGCCAAGCCTTATATAAGGGTTTCTGTTCCTACCTTGACTTTCTAGGGGCTCAGTTTAAAAGATGTGCATTCCTGAAACACCATAAAAACCCTAGAAGAAAACCTAGGCAACACCATTCAGGACATAGGAATAGGCAAGGACTTCATGACTGAAACACCAAAAGCAACGGCAACAAAAGCCAAAATAGACAAATGGGATCTAAGTAAACTCCAGAGCTCCTGCAGAGCAAAAGAAACAATCATTAGAGTGAACCGGCAACCAACAGAATGGGAAACAATTTTTGCAATCTAGCCATCTGACAAAGGGTTAATATCCAGAATCTACAAAGAACTAAAACAGATTTACAAGAAACAAACAAACCCATTCAAAAGTGGGTGAAGTATATGAACAGACACTTTTCAAAAGAAGACATATATGAGGCCAACAAACATATGAAAAAATGCTCATCATCAGTGGTCATTAGAGAAATGCGAATCAAAACTACGTTGAGATACCACCCCACGCCAGTTAGAATGGCAATCATTAAAAAATCTGGAGACAACAGATGCTGGAGAGGATGTGGAGAAAAAGGAACACTTTTACACTGTTGGTGGGAGTGCAAATTAGTTCAACCATTATAGAATACAGTGTGGCAATTCCTCAAGGATCTAGAAATAGAAACTCCATTTGACCCAGCAATCCCATTACTGGGTATATACCCAAAGGATTATAAATTGTTCTTTTATAAAGACACATGCACATGTATGTTCATTGCGGCACTGTTTACCATAACAAAGACCTGGAACCAACCTACATGCCCATCAATGATACACTGGACAAAGAAAATGTGGCACATATACACCATGGAATACTATGCAGCCATAAAAAATGACGAGTTCATGTCCTTCGTAGAGACATGGATGAATCTAGAAACCATCATTCTCAGCAAACTGACACAAGAACAGAAAACCAAATGTTTTCGCTCATAGGTGGGTGATGAACAATGAGAACACTTGGGCACAGGGAAGGGAGCAAAACCTACTGGGCTAGGTTGAAGGGGAGGGGAGGGGAGGGGAGGGAAGGGGAGACACAGGGGGGCAGGGAGAATGGGGAGCGATAACACAGGGAGGAATGCCTGACGTAGGCGACGTGAGTTGGGGGGGATGGAGACAGCAAACCACCACGGCATGTATATACCTAAGCAACAATCCTGCAGGATGCAGGATGTGCATGTGTACCCCAGAGCCCAAAGTATAATTAAAAAAAGAAGAAAAAAAGAGATGTGCATTCCATAGGTCCCCTTTAGCTGGGTGGTACCGGGCACAGTGTTCTTTCAACCAGTGTTTATTGAGTGCCTCCTGTGTCCCGGGCAGTGTAGGAAATAAAGTGTAAGTTGCTTCATTCTTGCCTAGGAGAAGCTCAAAATGCAAGTGCATTCACAGTCGTTAATCAGTGGTTTGCATCTCTTTTTCTATCCTAGCCCAGCAGAGGGCTGGACACACTCCTGTTCAACAGTGGCTTGCTGGGGAAGCCTGTGGTTCGATCCCTCTACCTCCTCATCCCATCAGGATCCAGACTAGGGCATTTTGACACATTACCTACCTGTGGTTGGGAGTCACTGTGCAAGCTTGGGAAGAAAATATCCATAGTCACTTTCTTTGTTTCTTATAAGGCTGAGGGCAAAGAGAGAAGCAAGGACGAGGAGAGCTGCTGACGGAGTCCCGGACATGGACTGGCATCGTGGGTCATCTTCTACTTGAGATATTTTTTGGGCAACAGAAGTATAGAAGAAGGAAAAAGCAACTGTATTGAAATCTCCTAAATGTAGCAGATTTGGAGCCCACAAACACTTGTTTTAGGGAGGAGGGGCTATTGCTCTTAACCTAGAAGGCATCCCCCATGGTCTTTAAGACGTTTGGAAATGTGTGTACAAGTGAAATTATTTTACCTGCTTCTCTTGAACACATCATGTATCATATCCAATTTTATTTCTAAACGTATCCTTTAAAAATATTATTTCTGTGCACTTCTGATTCTGTTACTAGTAAGAACAATAAAACCTGATTGGCTATAGATTGCCCCGCTAACTGCTCTTTTATTCAATATGAAAGATGTTAAATGAGATAGCCCAAACGTCTTTGAGCTTGTATACATGCATTAAAACACACAAAAAGTCACTCTCATGATTTAAAAACTTGACTCTCGAGTGTTAGAGGCTGCTCTATGGTATTAAAGCGCTGAACCATCATTGTTCTGATGCCACTGAATTTAATTTACTCCTGCAGTTCACCTTTTGCCTGTTAGTGGCATCATCTGGCATTCTGTGGAGACACAGGTTGAATCTGCATGTTTGAAACGATGAAGCGAACTCTTGAAGGAACAAGTCTGAGGACACACTTCATTAGCTTCATTTTCTGTGGGTAAACAATGGCAACACTTGGGATACCTGAGGATAAATCAGGGACAATGGGCCATGGAATCAGAGAGTTCAGTTTTTGTTTGTTTGTTTGTTTGAGATGGAGTCTCACTACTATCACCCAGACTGGAGTGCAGTGGCGCGGCCTTGGCTCCACCTCCTGTGTTCAAGCGATTCTCCTGCCTCAACCTCTGAGCAGCTGGGATTACAGGTGTCCACCACACCTGGCTGATTTTTGTATTTTTAGTAGAGACAGGGTTTCACCATGTTGGCCAGGCTGGTCTCAAACTCCTGACCTCAAGTGATCCGCCTGACTCAGCCTCTCAACATGTTGGGATTACTGGAGTGAGCCACCGAGCCTGGGCTTTTTTTTTTTTTTTTTAACCATCTCCTTTGCATTTCAGAAGTGTCCAGGTTTGACACTGCTAAGACCTTTACTTCCTTTCCCTGGATTAACTTTCAGGCCCCAGAGCCTGTAGGGGCAGGTTCTCCAGGCAAACAGCAGGTCTCACTGGCCTGTGTCTCTACTTGATTCATATTCAAGGGCTAGAAGATAGTATTTATCAGAAAAACTGCTCAGACCCTAGACCCCTTCTTTTCTGGAAAGGGCTTGAAATAGAGTGTGTAGTAGTGTACTACAAAAATCAACTCTTAGAATTCCTACGCAGGCTAGAGAGGATACAGAAAAGGACTGAGGTATAAATAATCTGGCAGAAGTGCCTTAGAGGATCCCAGGGAGGGAGAGGAGAGACGGAGGGTTGGGAGAGAGGTGGCCAAAGGGCCTTTCTTATGCCCGGCCCATTCCCTTCCTCTTCTCCTGGTTACACCTGCCCTCGCCTCAGCTCACCTCCCTGTCTAGACCAGTGTCTCCTTAGTCCCTTGCTCACAGGCCTCTGTTTCTCAGGCCTTGCAGTCTTGCATCCATGGTTCTTAGATTAACATGTCCCCACTGGACTCTCAGCTCCAAAAGGTAATGTCCTTTGAGTTCACTGTTGTGTCTCTGGCATCTACGGTGTACTGTGTATTTTACTGAGTGATGTATGTCACCCAGTTTATTATTACTCTTGTAGAACTGCAGGGAAAGGGGTGGGGCGAAGGATATGAGACAAGAGAAAGTGGAGAAAGGCTGTAGGCTTTGGATTCGAGTGCTGCTCCTAAATCTCAGGAACGTGTCTGCGTAGGAGGTAGGACAGACACTTCTATTTGGATAGTTTTTTTTTTTTTTAACCTGATGTCACCTCTACACTTCTGTTTTTTCTATACCTTAGAAGCACACCATTATTTCCAAGACTGTGTGCAGACACTGACAGTCATCTCCCATTTCTGGAAGAATTTTTAGCTGGGCATGTGGCCATCTGATAGACATTTCTCTGCTTTCTTTAAATGGGTGGGGACATGTGACCAAGTTCTGGCCCCTACATTCTGGACAGAAGTAATGGCTCCAAATTCCAATCTGTGACCTTAGGAGGGACCTGCTTTCCCCTTCCTCTTTCTTCCCTTCCAACTGGCTGGAGAGTGAAGTTGGTTGGGAGCCTTCTTTGGCCACATGGATGAGGCTGCTCCCAAGGGATGGTTAGTGGCATAGCTTGGGCCTGGCAGTAGATAAGCACTGGGCTGTCACTTGGACGGCTGATGTGAGAGAGATGCATTTCCATTTGGGAGTAGCGACAGCAGCTGAATCGACTTCCTCATTCTGGCATCATCTAGAGCAGTGAGGAAATGAAGGGAACAGAAGCAGTATTTCTGGGGTAGTGAACTAGTGGTAAAAATGTGATCATTTATTTGTAGAATGAATGACAGTACTTTGGCTGTCACAGTGATTCCTGCTTGGTAAACTGGGAACAGTTGAATAGTTTCTCTTGCTCAGATGTGCTGTTTCCTTCCCATTATCCTAGTCCTCATTTTCTTACTTTAAATAGAGATAGGAGCTAAAAGTTCTGGACCTGGAGCCAGACAGCTCTGACTTTGAAATTGCATGACTGTCACTTATTAAGTGTTTCCTCTGACCAAGTTCCGTGTCCGTTATCTCCCTATGCCCTTACAATTGCATGACTGTCATTAATTAACTACTCTGTTTCCATAACCATGTCATAAAGCTATTGTATGACATGGTTATGGAAACAGAGTAGTTAATTAATGACAGTCATGCAATTGTAAGGGCATAGGGAGATAACGGACACGGAACTTGGTCAGAGGAAACACTAAATAAGGGTTTTCTATGCTATTGTAAGGTCTCTCTCTCTCTCTCTCTCTCTCTCTCTCCGTGTGTGTGTGTGTGTGTGTGTATGTACATTAGTCAGGATTTTTTCTTTAGCAACTGATGGAAACCTAATGAAACTGGTTTGAGAAAAAAGAATTTATTGGCTCATATAGCTAAAAAGTCCAGGGCTAGTCTAGCTCTAGGCATAGCATTAATGTCTGTCATTGGACATAGGCTTGTTCTAACTCTCAAGTTTATTCGTGTTAGTACTATTCTCTGGCAGGTTTTGTCTATGAGGTTATAGACAGCTGAGATGGCTGTCCCCAGTCTCCAGATTTCTATCTTTATCTTTTCAGCAACTCTACCAGGAAATCTCTAATGAAAGTCTGGGAAATGATACCTCACTGGTTGTGAGACACTACCCCATCCTCTAATCAGTGCCACTAGCCAGGGAGATAACAAGTTTGAATTTGCCAGGCCTGGGTCATATGCTCATAGCGGGGTTGAGTCCATTCTTCTTAAACCACGTACGGTGTCAGTAGTAAAGAGGTGGTCATAGTAGGGAAAGTGGGTGCTTTTTTTTTTTTTTTTGAGACAGAGTCTCACTCTGTCACCCAAACTGGAATGCAGTGGCGTGATGTTGCCTCACTGCAGCCTCCACCTCCCAGGTTCAAGTGATTCTCCCCCCTCAGCCTCCCAAGCAGCTGGGACTACAGGCACATTCTATCACGCCTGGCTAATTCTTGTATTTTTAGTAGAGACAGGGTTTCATTACGTTGGCCAGACTTGTCTTGAACTCCTGGCCTCAAGTGATCTGCTCACCTTGGCTTCCCAAACTGCTGAGATTACAGGTGTGAGCCATCACACCCAGCCTGGGGTGCTTTTATTAGAAGAGGGAGTACATGCCAGGCAGGCAACAACTTTTTTTTTTTTGAGACAGAGTCTTGCTCTGTTGCCCAGGCTGGAGTGCAGTGGCATGATGTTGGCTCACTGCAACCTTTGCCTCCCAGGTTCAAGTGATTCTCCTGCCTCAGCCTCCGAAGTAGCTGGGATTACAGGCGTGTACCAGCACGCCTGGCTAATTTTTGTATTTTTAGTAGAGATGGCGTTTCACCATGTTGGCCAGGCTGGTCTGAATCTCCTGACATCAAATGATCCACCCACCTTGACTTCCCAAAGTCTGGGATTACAGTCATGAGCCACATGCCCGGCCTCAGGAACTGTTTTTATAGTTTGTAAAAGACTCAGCTGAGTTCCTGGCATAGTGAGCACTAACAAACATAAACCATCAAGCCTCGGCTCTGTCTTCTGGTTCATGGTCATTCTGCACAGAGATGCTGTATATAATCCCTTTTTTTTCTTTGAAACTTGTGTTATACTCACCTCCTCTAAAAAGCCATCCCTGAACAACGCTGGACTTATTTCTGCAGAGGCCCATATTTCCACTACAATTCCCTATGAACCTTCTTCCTAAGTGATTAAGGGCCCACTTCTTTCCTTCCTACTCTCCCTCCTTCCTGCTCCGTATGTCTAGGAGCTATTTACTAAACAAGAGGGTTACTGAGTATCTATAAAGAGCCCTAGAATTAGGGTGCAGTTATTTTGCAGCTGCTGTACCATCCACAATCATTTCCATCCGTATCTTCTTGTGTTTGGAAGACTCTACAGTCTAATGAGGCTGTTCAAAACCTCCAATTTGCCATTTTGAAACATAAATTATTAGACACCAATAGTTCCACCCACACAGTTATTGTTAGTACCTAGCATAACACTGTAAGACATCCTGCAAGGAACTAACGATAAATAAAATGAAACTGCTCATTGGAGAACTAAGCTGTAATGTCAAGACAATGGTTTTGAGGAGATGTAAAACCACCATAAAGGGACAACTGACTCCTAGGCCTGGGGTCAGGGGAGAGATTTAGGTGGCAAACATGGACCATTTGAGAAGCCAGAAAACAAATAAGTGCATAAGCAATGGATAGCAGTGTAAGATCAATCATGAGGACCTGGTCAAAGAACTTAGGACAGTGTCTGAGATCTGAGGCAAGAATATTCCTAATACGAAACGACTCGCTTCAGACTCTCTAAGCCTGGT